CAAGAAAATATATTGTTTATATATTTGACCAATGACCAGCTTTGCATTCACAATGTTTTACTGAAAAATATTCTTAATGAAAAATACTTAATAAATCCACTTTGTCCCTGGCACTCTGAGATGGGACTCGAATCCATGACCTTCCGCAATCCGGGCGACTTCACAATGGTGAACAACACAAAGAAAATTCTGCATGACTTAACGAACGTCAGTTTGGTGTCTAAGACGTATCATTAAATAAATAAAAAGTAACAAGCTAATGTTAACAAGTTTAACGATTATGTACAAAAGAATCATTAGCGTATCAGTATACCTAAATTCTTATCTGGGTCATCTTAATTTCAAATAAATGGTATCTTAATGTAACAAATGAAGAAATAAAATTCATGTTTTACTTGTATTGTTTTTAAAATAAATTTCCGTTGTTTTATAAAATACGCATGTAGGTATGTATTATTATTTTTTTTACAGTATCATTAAACATATTTGAGCCTACGACCTTCACTTCAAATCTGAGGAGCGGCTACTAATAGTAATATAATCTCTTCAAATAGATCAAATTGGAAAACATTATTAATGCACCATTGTTCTTACGAAACAGGAATTCAACAATACCTGTAAATCCCACTGTACTAGAAAAAAAAAACATAATTACAGAAAATATTACTCTCAAAGACTAGGTACTAAGACTCTGGCTACAGAGTGAATTCTCTAGATTAGACTCTTGTTCATCATTGATAAGATAATGGCATAATAAGATAAGAATAATTTCATATTTTAATTATGCTTTATTAGAATGTGCCTTAACTACAACTAATGTGTGCTAGATTTATTTTATGTTGATACCTAAGTTTTACTTGTATCGTAGGTATCTCACTATAATAAATCATTTCTATTTCTAAAAGCATTTCTATTTGTGCTTATTCTAAAATAATATAAAATAACAATAGATGACATATATAATATCGGAAACAAATGTATTTACTTTACTATGTGTATAATTAATAATTACATTGGCCCCAATGAAATAATAATAGTTAGATTTTTTTTTCTACGTCGTCGTACGTTCTAGCGGTTCTTGTGTATATTTTTACCCAAATCGTGTATATTTTTAGGTGAGGTTTTATTTATGACTATTGGTGAGAAAATTACAATTTATACTACGGATATTTTACATAAAAATATTCTTCAAGAATCTCGAGCATTAACGATTCGTATTCATAGGAAGCGTCGATATTTGTGAGATTACCACGTGTTGTTGTACTACCTATGTCCTTGTGCTTGATCCTCTAGGGAGCGGCGCTCTAAGCGCCCTCATAGTCGATTTTATATATAAGCCTAGCTTCGGAAATTTTTCTTGCTGGATATTTTTCATCTCCAGTTCTGTGTGGGCTTGGTTTGTTAGCGCCGGTATGAAACACGTTTAGCAGGTTCTTGTTCTTTAGTGCATTCCTTCATCATGCTTTGGTCAGTGACCACATTGTTGACATTTATAACATATTGTTACAAAAATGATTGAAAACTCTTTTCTGGTGAATGAATATTTATCTTAATTCCAGAGTTACTTCCAGTATGGAGTTGCAGTAGGAGGTGTCCTTTCGTCCTGATATATTTAATAGAGCTCATATATTTTGTCTTTCGAAATACTGGTGTTTGTCAATTTCAATTTATTCAATGCAAGTCACAGGTCATACAGATGTTATAAATTAATTTTGTACAAGTGACGCCCTGTAAGGGCACAGCAATACTGAGGGGCAACAATTGCCATTTTTACTTATATATATTATTGTTCTAGTGATTATTATTACATTTAATAGTTATTTTACTTACACATCCAATATACTTTAAACTCGATTAATACATTTACAATACATTCATTTATTAATTCATTTAATAATTATTTTAGTAATTACTTAATTTATAAACCTTAAACATAGTTGATACATTTATTCATATATACTTTTTTGTATTATTCTTCTTTTTTTTTTTTATTTATTTATTTTTTATTTGGGCACAGTTTGTTACTTCTCGTTAAGAAACTCTTCAATATTGTAATAACATTTACTTATTAAGTATATTTTCAGCTCTGTAATAAACTTTTTTGTTTCTTTTATTTTCTTTAAGCTATTCGGAATATGATTATAAATTTTGATGGCCATAAAATGAGGTCCTGTAGTGACTAATTTCAGTTTACAAAACGGTACTTTAATTTGGTTTTCTGTGCGATTGTTTCTCTTTTTAGCCAACTTTACCGGTGAGTATAAATTTTCCATGATATAGATTGAGGTTAACGTAAGTATGCAATGTAATTTAAAGTGAGGTCTACATGATTCCATCTGATCTATATTAGTTAAAATTCTAATGCACTTTTTTTGCAGAATAAAAACACTCTCGACGTCATTACAATTTCCCCATAAGATAATTCCGTAAGCTAGCCTGGAGTGTGCATAGGCATAATAAGCGGTTAGTGCGGTTTTAAGATCTGTACCTTTTTTCTAATATATTTTTGTGTCCAATATATTTTGTTCATATAAACATTCGCCCTATTACTATTATTACCATATTTTCGAAGATCTTTGAAAAATGCATGTACAGAAGACTAGTAGACTTCTGTGATAAATTTGATATAATTAATAATGAACAATTTGGGTTTCAAAGTGGTAAGTCAACCACATTGGCCTCTTTTACGCTTTTGGATACTATATTGACGAACTTAAATAATAACTGCCTTACGACAGGCTTATTCTTTGATTTATCTAAGGCATTCGATTTTGTTTCCCATAAGTTATTGTTAAAAAAATTAGACTCGATTGGTATAAGAGGTGTGGCATATCTATGGATTGAGTCATACCTGTCAAACAGAAAGCAATCCGTCACTATTGATAGAATAGTAAATGGTGAGATGATCTCATATTCATCAAATTATCGCGAAACTGAAAAGGGCGTTCCCCAAGGAAGTATTTTGGGACCTATTTTGTTTTTACTATATATTAATGACTTCATTAACGTGACAAACCATAAGTGCATTCTGTATGCTGACGACATTTCAATAATAGTGACATCAAATAAAGTAAATAATAATTCGATACTGAATCATGAATTTGACATAAATAATACTGTTGACAAGGTAATAGAATGGCTAGAAAACAACAATTTGACAATAAATTTAAAGAAATCAGTTTTTGTTCAATTCAATAAATCAAAACATATTAAATATAATTTTAAACTTAATATTAATAAAATCAAACAAGTACCACATACACAATTCTTAGGTATTACTATAGATGAAAATTTGAATTGGAAACAACATGTCGACAAAACATGTAACAGGATAAACAAATTTGCTTATGCACTGGGTCAAGTTGTAAAAGTAACAAATAAAAAAACTGCTGTTATATGTTATCGGGCTTACGTGGAATCGATATTACGTTATGGTCTTGTAATATGGGGTAACGGCACAGACTATCACAGAGCCTTCATAACTCAAAAAAAATGTATCAGGGCGATCTGTGGAATTCCACCTGATGAATCATGTCGGGAGTCATTTAAGCAACTTGGTTTATTACCGCTATCATCATTATATATTCTGGAAGTGTGTACCTTTGTGAGGAAATACAATCATTTATTCAAAAAAGTTAAGGACATTCAAAAATTTAGACAACGTCGAGACCCTGATAGACTTATATTAAATGTAATTCCAAAATCGGATAAGTATGGGAGAAGTTGTTTGGCTATGTGCGTTAAAGTATATAATAAAATTCCACATGAACTGAAGTCTTTAACGCCTGGATTGTTTAAAAGAAAATTATATGCCTGGCTAAATTGTAATAATTTTTATAGTATTAGCGAATTTTTGAACAAAAGGAATTAGAATATTACATTGACTTTTTTTTAACATGACATGTAATTTCAACATAATAAGAATTAAATAATTTTATTGTAATAATTGTGACTGCATTAGATTGCATTATACTGATTTGCATGCTATTTGAAAATGGCGAAACATGAGGATTTTGTACAATTTTAACACCTTTATACCATGTTTAAGGCAAATAAAAAATTATTATTATTATTATCTTTGTCGCAGATATTGTTAGGGACTCCTAATAATATTATTTTTGGCTTACGTTTGATGGTCTCCTCAAGCTTTAGCCCAGCTGTTTTAAGCTGCTCTGATTGTTTTAACTTCTTAAGGTCATCCTTTTCTTCAGTATTGATTGCAATACCCTCGCCTTTAATCTTCCTCATACTCAATAAGTATTTTGTCTCTTCAATCGACTTATCTTTGATAACTGGATAGACAGCAATCCTACTGGTGGTGCTGGTCGAAGGTTGGCTTTATTTTGTCTAACAAAGTCAACAAAAGTTATACTAGTTGGTTTCGCCTTAGGTGTTTTGCATTCGATTTTCTTTGAGGTGGGTTTCAGGTGGTCATGGTACTTAGATTGAAAGGACTTTCCATGATTTATTATTATGGTCGCCAGTTATTTTTATAAAATAACACCAATTGAGAACAATAATATTTTGTCGACATGACTAGCAGTCACTGATACAGATTTACGAGGAAGCTATTTTGACACAGTTACAAGTTTATTGCTATTGAAATAAATTTAATTGCAGATGGCGCGTTTATTTCCAAATCTTTCTTCTAAATGGTATTAATCAAAGGTTGGTTAGTATTGTAGACCACAGCCCGGGAATACTTGCATTTCCTGCATTTCCTAATCTGACATGTCTATGTATATCTTGTATGTGTGTGTATATATTTATATACCAACCCATATTTGTGTATTTATATGAATGTATGGCTTTGTCTTAATGTATATGTTAGTACGTATCTACGTATATGTAAGTATTTCAATTGTATGATATAACTAGGCAACTTAGAATAAAGATATTTTCTAAAAATAAGCACTGAACATTTATTTTATTTTTAACAAAAAATATTAACATTATCATTTTCACATGTTAAAATAAATGTTGTTTTATTCGTCTACATATTAGAAGATATGTGTGAACTGCACGATAACTATCTGATAGGAGATAATTAGGTCCAACACAAGGATGGGTAGAGTCCAGTCCAGTGGTACCACTTTCATCATTTTTATCTTGAGCGGTCGGGCTGATACGTAGCTGATAAAGCAGTCTAAAAAACGAGCATGTTCCTCATCTGTAAGGTTGATTAATTTAATTTGTTTCAGTTCTCTTTTATATAATGTTATTGTTATGTTATTATTATATTGCTATATATACTCTTAATGATCGGGACAATACCTTTTAAAAGAGCAAATTTACTGCAAGAATGTAGTTTTATTTAGACACATAGTCTATTTCGTAGTCTTAGTTCGTGCTCGTCTTAGTCATAAAACTATCATTTCGATGTAATTCTAAATCCTTACAAAAGGAACCCTACCGATAAATAAATACAGTTACCTCTTTCTTTTATTAGTTTTTCATATAAAGTAATTTTCAATTTGTCAGCCTTTGCTGCCAAGAGGCCAGCGTAGATTGCAGGTAAGAACAGCAGCACGACTACTTGAATAAAGTAGAGACTCCTCACTAATTGATCGTCGACGAACATGTTCTGGAAATAATTAACAGGTATTTTATGTGTGTAAATTAAAAGAATTTAACAATATTGATGTAGCGTCCAATTGCACGGCTAGCCCATGTCCATGTCCAACAAAGTCAAAGTATAAATAAACCTTATTAAAATATACTTCTTAAAAGTACTTTTGAATCGTCCAACATTTTTTCTTCAACCACTCGTTCAGGACGTCTTTTGGCTGATACGAAAAACGAGCAAGAAACTCATCAGCTCTAATGGAAGTTACGACATTCACAAAACAATGTCATTACTAGATCATTATATTATGAAAAAAGAGATTAAAACTATGATCATATAACGATAACATATGTAATAATTTAATAATGGAAACAGGATAATTTTGAGATATAACGAGTTCAGAAGAAATCACCTATCCAGCTGCTGGACCATCTTAAGTCTAATCATTCTTACCTATTATATAATCAGATACCTTATAATAAGCTTATTAATAGTAGATTTAAACTGCATGATATCTAATTGTTGTATTTCGCTTGGGACCTTATGACCTTGGGACCACTGAAGTTTAGAACAAGTGTTATCCCTAAAAATACTATGGTATCCACGAGGTACATGTTGTTGTCTTTTATATTCACATTTATATCTAGTAGATATCTATTAACTATTCTATTCTAATAAAAAAATACATCCATATCAGTTCACCCGTTTAAGCGCTAGTGCTCCACCAATAGATTCAGACATACACACTTAGCCGTCAAACTTAATACACCACTCTTTTTGCATCGGGATTAAAAATATCATGATTATTCAACTATTAATCTAGATAAGTAGTTGAATAGTGTCGTTCAATCAAAAGACGGCCCTACCATTTGAAAATCGCTATTTTAATCAGTTGTTTGTTATGACGTTGTACTATTGAAGTTATATTTCTCGTAACTTTTTAGCCCATACTTACTTCTCCATTTTTAATAGTCACCAAAAGGCAATAAGTAGCACCGATCAATTCTGGTATTTTAAAAGCCAATGACATCATGTGCTGAAACATTATACAGAATATTACACAAATCAATAGTTGACTGAATTAAACAGTATTGATATATATATGTTAACGCATTAGCGTAGTTATTGAAGTAAATTAGTTTTATATATACATGATTATCAGTAAACTGTAGGTGTGGTTTATTCATACTTAAAACTAGATGTCGCCATTTGTTTAACATAATATTGTTTGGTCTGTTCTGAATCGCGGTATTAAGATTTCTGCTAGTATGTATAAGTCATAGATCATAAGGTTTCTTTTTGAACATAAAATTGAATCTATTCACTTGAACGGTGGTTTCATTGATATCATCTTGCCCCATTCAAGTAAAGTTTTTTGGGATTGAACAAGGTCCCTCAGAGCCGGAATAGGCATTCTTGAGAGATTTGTGAATATCCATTTTCGCACCGATCAGGCGGCCGATTGTTGTCTATGGTGCTTTTCCTGGAGTTTAAGCCAGGCCTTTCAGATATAGTCGAGCAACACACAGGCACTGGCAGCGGAACCGGAAAAGCAAATACGATATCGGTGGCGATATAAAGAGGTGTAAAAGTGCGGGAACAAATTTGAAGTTTTGAAACCAATTGTTTACATGACGGCCAGTAAGTGAAGTGACGTGAGAATTGTAAGTACTTTGAACCTTATATACATAGAAGAATTAACTTGGTGAAATTTAAGAAGAGGATTAAAGTTGGAGCAATTTGAACTTTATTTACAAGAAAAATATTACTTTAAATTTTTAGATGAGTTTTTGGACTTAAAATAATTTGTTATTGTGTAGTTTTAACTTAGAATAATTTCTCTAAAAATTAACAGACGGGGAATCCATGCCCGATTTTTTCTAAGTGTCAAAATTGTAAACACTTAGAAAATTTTAAAGAATTCTTTCTTAAGACAGTTATTGTAAGTTGGTATAAGTTATTTGCGGTTTAAAATTGTATTAAAAAACAAAAAAAATGGAGGCATTAATTAAGCTTCAAAATGATTGTAAATCCACAATATCAAAGGCTAAAGTTAACTTCAAAAAGTCGAGTAAAGATCGTATTACGGTACCATATGTTGAAACACGTCTAGAGGCATTGGATCAGCAGTGGCAAACTTTTTGTGATACTCATCGTCAATTAATAGCCGATTATGCCATTGTTGATTTACAGAAGTCTGAGTATTATACAAATGAAATTTATGAAAAAACAGAGGAACTTTACTTTGATTATAAAACTTTATTAAAGGAAAATCTAAACAAACTTTTAATAATAAGTCGTAAAACAGAAACTGAAGTAGTAGGTGAAGTTCGAAAACCGGGTATATCATCTCATGTCAAATTACCAAAGATCTCAATTCCCATATTTTCTGGACTATATATAGAATGGGCTTCTTTCAGAGATTTATTTGTCTCATTGATCCACAAGAATGATTCGTTAGATGAAGTTCAAAAACTTCATTATTTAAAGAGCCACTTGACAGGCGAAGCAGAAAATCTTTTACGTCATGTACCAATCACTTCGGCCAACTATCAAACTTGTTGGGATCAGTTACAACATAGATATGATAATAAAAAATATTTATCAGATAATATATTAAAACGATTTATGAGTATTAAGCCATTGCCAGTAGAATCTTCTACTGCGATTAAGGGTATATTAGATACTACAAACGAATGTTTACATGCTTTGACTAATCTTGGAATTGATACTACTACTTGGGACATTATTGTTATCCATATCATCAGTCAGAAATTAGATCCGGAGTCCAGAAAATTATGGGAAGCAAAAGCAAGCGAAACTTTTGATCAATTACCGACTCTTGAAACTTTTAATGATTTTATGGAGCATAGATTTAGATCCCTTGAATTTTTAGCACCTAAAGTAAGTAAACTTAATTCAGTTCGTAACATTGCATCAAGTCATATCACGCATGTTCAAACGTCACTTCATACAACTACAGTGTCATGTCAGTTTTGCAATGAAAATCATAAGCTTTGTAATTGCAAAGCTTTCTCTAAGTCGGATTTAGGAGAACGCCGAGAGTTTGTTCAACGAAATAGGTTGTGTTTTAATTGTCTAGGGCCAAATCACTCAGTGTACTCTTGCTGCCAACTCTCAAGGTGTCGTATTTGTAAAAAGAAACACCATTCTCTACTTCACTCCAAAATAACTGTAAACACATCTTCGACTAAAGAAGAGAAGGATCAAGGTGATAAAAATGTTTCAGTTTCGGTAGCAACCACTGAACCCGAAGATTCAAAAGATTGTTCCAGAGTTATTTCCCACTTTTCAAAATCTTCAAGTCAGGTTTTGCTAGCCACTACATTGGTAAAGGCGACTTCAAAAACTGGGAGAGAAGATATAGTAAGATGTATGTTAGATCAAGGTTCACAAGCATCTTTTATTACAGAGGGAACAGTACAAGCACTAGGGCTAAAAAAGATTCCTAGTAAAGTTATTATTTCAGGGATTGGTAGTGGCTCAGACAACGATGTCTCTGTAGCATCGAAATCTGTAGTTTATGTTAAAATTCGGTCACTATACAATCCTCTCATAGTCATGGAAGTCAAAGCTCATGTGTTAAGTAAATTGACTACTTTGATTCCCTCAAAAAAGGTAAGTTTTAAACCGTGGCCCGCCTTGGCTGAAGTAAAATTAGCTGATCCACAGTTTTACATACCAAATAGAATTGACATATTGCTTGGTGCAGAAGTCTACGGCCAGATTTTAGAAGACGGTATTCTCAAAGGTCCTCCGGGTTACCCTGTAGCACAAAAAACCACACTCGGGTGGATTTTATCTGGCAAGATTCATACAGATTCTTTAGATGATTCTACATCATGTCACACTATTATTAGTTTGCATACTCAGATAAATGAAAATGATATTTTGCGTAAGTTTTGGGAATTAGAAGCAGAACCTATTGCTATGAAAGGAAAATGTTTGTCAGAAGAAGAAATTCTCTGTGAAAAACATTTCAAGATGACAACTCGTAGAGACGAAACTGGAAGGTATGTAGTAAAGCTACCATTTCGAACTAACAATCCACAATGCAAATATGGCAATTTTAGAAATATCGCTGAACGAAGATTACAGTTGTTGCAAAAGAGGTTTGATAGAGATCCAATTTTCAAAAAGCAGTATTCAGCTATTATTTCTGAATACTTGGAACTTCGCCACATGAAAGAAGTTCCTCCAGAAGAATGCAAAATGGTAGATACAGTATATTTACCTCATCATGCTGTCATCAGAGAGGATAAATCCACTTCGAAATTAAGAATCGTGTTTGATGCGTCTTGTCCTGGTAGCAACGGCGTTTCATTAAATAGCGAACTAATGGTAGGGCCGACTTTGCAGGCAGAACTTCGTCATATTATTATACAATGGCGTACTCACCCGATAAGTCTGACATCAGACATCGTTAAGATGTATCGTCAGGTTAAAGTTGCCGATTCAGACTCAGATTTTCAGCGGATATTATGGAGAGATGAGTCTGGTTTGAAAACTTTGAAAATTCTTAGAGTTACGTTTGGTACGGCATCAGCTCCTTATTTAGCTGTTAAGGCGTTACAAAAACTTGTCGAAGATGAAGGTGGAGCTTATCCTTTAGCAGCTCAAAGAGTTATTAATCATTTTTATATGGATGATTTTTTGAGTGGTTGTGAAACAGTTTCTGAAGGGATTCAGTTATATCAAGAGATGAATAATTTATTAAATAAGGGAGGATTTGAGCTTCAAAAATGGTCTAGCAGTAGCCAAGAATTACTAGATAAGATTGGAAAAAACAACGAAGACAACGAAATAAATATTGAAATAAAGTCCAAAGGAAATGACATAAAAATGGTTCTTGGGTTAACGTGGGATAAAGGTACTGATTCCTTCGAATATTCCATTAAATTACCTGATGTAACTTCACCACTCACAAAAAGAAAAGTGGTTTCAGATATATCACGATTGTTCGATCCTTTAGGATGGATCGCTCCAGTCATCATAACAGCCAAGGTTTTAATACAGAAACTGTGGATAGCTGGTATCGATTGGGATCAAGAACTACCACCAAATCTGATGCAGGAATGGCTAGTATACAGAAATAATCTCTCACTACTTTCTACCTTCCGTATTCCTCGATGGGTAAATATTCGCCATGATGATCTATGTAGAGAGTTGCATGGCTTCTGCGATGCATCTAATATAGCATATGCTGCTGTAGTGTTTCTACGTGTGGTTGATCGCGAGGGCAGTGTTCATGTTCATCTTATAACTTCGAAGACAAAGGTGGCCCCGATAAAACAAGTAACCATCCCACGTCTAGAACTGTGTGGAGCAGTTCTTTTATCTAAGTTATTACTGGAGGTATCCGAAGTGCTCTCGATACCAAAGTCTCACGTTCATGCTTGGACTGATTCCTCCATTGTGTTGGCCTGGTTAAGTAGTCACCCAAGTAGGTGGAAGACCTTTATAGGAAATAGAGTGTCAGAAATACTAACAAATTTCGATAGAAGTCAATGGTCACATGTTCGTTCTCAGGAAAACCCTGCTGACTGCGCATCAAGAGGTATTACTACGTTGGATGACTCTAATGAACGCTTGTGGAAAGAGGGTCCATGCTGGTTAAAGAAATCCTTTATAAAATACAGTCCACTAGAAAATCAAGACACTAATCTTGAAGAACGATCTACGATTGTTTATTGTGCAATATCTGAAAACAATGAGGAAATTTGGACGAGATTTTCTAAATTGCGCAGATTATTAAGAGTAATGACACTTTGTTTTAGGTTTTTCAAACTAACACATTATTCAGGGTCAAAACCATCCTTTCCACTATGGCTTACAACAAATGAATTACGTGAAACATTAAATATCTGCATAAAATATTATCAGGGTCAGTTTTTTAAGGAAGAAGTAGAATGTATTCTAAAAAATAAGTCTATACCTAAGTCTAATTCCACTTCGACATTAAATCTTTATTTAGATCAAGTAGGCATAATACGGATTGGTGGAAGGCTACAAAATGCTCAAGTT